GAGTTACAACGCCAAATGCTAGTGAGGATGTGGAGCTACTGGAATACTTATAAATTCCTGGTAGAATTATATATTGATGCAACCAATTTGGAAAACCGACAGTATCTACTAAAGCTGCAAACATGCTCATGCTGTGGCCCAGCATTTCCACTCCTAGGAATATGCCCAAGAGCAATGAGTGCATGTTGTTCACCAAATGAAGGGAAGAGGCCAAATGAGGCTTCACAGCAGCACCTTGAATTTTCTCTCTGGAGGTGGCAGGTGTTCTCTAAGCGCACGGACACCGGGGGCACCATGTAAAGTCATAGAGATGTAGATGAGCATGAGGTGTTTATGGTAGTTGTAAACTGCTGGAGCACATGGGTTAGGATTCTAGAAAGACACAAGGCTGAAGGGGTAGGCCGTGTCTTGTAGAACTTGCCAAGGAGTGGATTTTGCCAAGGGGCTTGTTCAGGTTTGGCTTTCAGAAAGATCACTCGAGGTGTGCAGGGTGAAGCTACGGAGGCTAAGTAACTCTTGGCAGGAGCTATTGGGGGTGCTCATTATCACCTTGCTGCCATTTTGCCAATTTTGGGGAATAAGTACTTTTACTTTACCCTGAATTAGACTACCTGCCGTTCTATGCAGATAATGGAATTGGTATGTTGCTATAACTGATGACTTTCCAGAAAGGCTTACATTCCATAATGCCGACAGGAAAAGGAAGGCAGACAGATGAGTCCAGCAAGCATTTGCTCAACTGCCATCCTGTCTAGCTCAGTATCTCTTTGACAACTTTCACTTTCTACCTAAAAACATCACTGATTTAACAAAACATGTACAGGCTTTGTGCATTCTTAGAGTGAACTTTGCCCTTTTCATCAAAATCCTTTCTGTACTGACCATTCCAAAAAGACAACACAGTTTTTGCCCATGGCCAGCATCCTTAGTGAGTGTATTAACATCACCCAAAGGAGAAGCTAAACATGGTGTTTTTCTTTAGAGCAAGACTGATTTCTCAATGTGAACCTGTTGCCCAATTTTCTTGAGATAGCCCCAAATTTGTATTAGTCCCTGTGTTAAAGTGGCCATCACGGGTTCCTTAAACAGCAGACATTGTCACACTGGTCATGTTTCTGCCAAAGACAAATCAAAAGGAAATGATCTACTGGGAAAGAGGTGTGAGACTGAGGGTGAAGTCTGCCCATGAACAAATCATGAGACTCTGCCGGAGTTACTGGGGGAGGGGCAGAATCACCTTTACTAGTGATCTCAGAAGAAAAGATTCTTATCGAAAAGATTCCTGCGCTAGTATGTTTATCATAGCACTTTCCACAGTAGCAAAGATAGGGAGTCAACCTCAGTATCCATCAGGTGACAACTGGAAAAAAAAATGTGATATATATACCATGGAATACTCCTTAACTATAAAAAGGAATGAAATCACATCTTTTACAGCCACATGGTTAGAATTAGAGGTCATTATCTTAGTGAAATAACTCAGAAGCAGAAAGTCAAATACCACAGATTCTCATTCAGAAGTGAGACCTGAACAATGGACATATGGAATGGAATAAGAGACACTAGCGCCTCCACAAAATGGGAGAGGGGGAGGGGAAGAGAAGGGGGTGAGGGCTCAAAATGACCTATTGGGTGCAGTGTTCACTATTTGGGTGATGGGTACACTAAAATCCCGGACCTCATCACTATGCAGTATTTGCACATAAGAAAACTACACTTGTACTCCCTAAACCTATAAAAAGTAAAAAATTTAAAAAGAGAAAGGATTCTATCCATGTGCCAGGTAATGAGCCTCTTGACACCCAGATCCTTGAAAAAGATGCTTTGGCTGAGTAGTCCACCACAGACCCCTTCACTTCCCCAACTGCAAACTGCCTACACTCAGAGGTACAGGAAAAACTTTTGGATCAGTTACTGAATTCCAATCTTTTGGCCACTTTAGGGACATAACCAGATTTCCCGGGCTGGTTGCCTTAAGCACATTAATTTATGTGATGCTATTCTGTTCCTTAGATAAAGTTCCTTATATAGCAAAGAAGAGAGCTTCTGGATTCCAGGGAGGCAGCTAGCCTGCACTGCTTCAAAGAGAAAGGAAGCAGTACATTGCTGCTGTCACTTGGAGCAGCTCGGGAGAGCAGCCCCTAAGAAGCTGAAAGCCAGGGGTGAGGCTTCCATGTGAGGAGGATTCAGGCTCCTGTTTCACTCTGGAAAGGTCCACTGAGGAGGAATCTTGGGAAGTATCTACAGTAACTCCCTCTCAGCCTCTAGTGTTTCCGGTCAGCAGACAAGCACACCAGAGGCCAGAGATGGACCCACCACCAGGGGAACAGCACATAAAGTAGCTCCATCCTTCACATAGGCCAGTTGTCTTTAAATCCAGCAAGACCCCGCTTTTAGAAACTGACCTCTTTGCCACTGGACAGAGCCAGAGAATACCACCAGATCTGCCCAGGCAAATCCTTCATGCACATCAGTTCCAGGCCTCAGGAGGGATGTGGAGGCTCCTCAGCCACCTGCCTCCTGCTGCCACTTAGGATTCCTGCCATTATCCACAGTGCCACACCAGCCTCCAATTCCGCCCACCCAGCAGGCAGCTCCACTGTGCATGTGGGCACCCTCCAGTGAAAAAGATCAGGTTCCACCTCTCTTCAAAGCAGCAGAACGTAGGGTTTGTCTGGGTTCCTACCTTCATCATGTGGTACAAATAAAACAGAGTACAGGTAGATTTCTGTTAAACAAGCAGAGTCATGAAAATCTCTGCAAAACTACAGAATCTTCATCCTCCATCAGTTATGCCTTATTTTAAGCCAAATTGAACAGTGCCCTATTCCCTGACAGTGGGATGATTTACATGTCCCCTGGCAATCCTTGCATGGGAACCTTGACCTTTTGCTTCTCATAAAGCAATAACCACAGAGGCTTCCTTTTTCAGGCAGATTTGGACTGCAAAATTTTTCACGAAGTGCATGTTCTCAAATAAGACTTTGAAGATAGAATTAACAAGGTGATGCATACTTATCAAGAAAAAAAATAACTTAGGGCACCCAAGGGAATTGGCCTTTGAGAAAAATAAGATAGACATTTTAGTGAATAAACATTGCCCCCCACCCCTGAACCGGAAACAACCTCTGTGCCCAAGGACTTCTTTTCTAAATAGCCTCATGACTGTTTTCTCTCTTATTTAGCAAAATTCAAATGATCAAGGAAATATGCAGAGACCACAGACAGGTCCGAGGAGGACAGCCGCAGGCCCGTGTCCACATCTGTCTCCTGGGCCCCCTCTAGGTCATCAATGGAGAGGAGGTGGCCATGCCTCCAGGAGAGAGCCTTTGTAGTAAAACCTAGTCAGAACCCTTTTCTTATTTCAGGGATTTGTAAGTCAGATACTATTACTATATACTAAGTCAAGCCAGACCCACTGTCCCCAAACCTATTATTTAATTGAAACCTTACATAGTAAGGTTGGCCTATAGGCTTGGACACAGACCAGAGAGAGAAGCTGAGAGAAGCAGCCCCAGGTGCAAATGCACATTGGAAGAGACGTCTCCAGTTCTGCGCAACAGAAACAGGTTACTGATGAGCTACAGTGAGGGCCGGGGAGGGCTGCAGGACCGGAAGGACAGGCTGGGATACAGGGCAAAGCTTCTCATCCAACCCCTGCAGGAGCCACAGGAACGGGAGCAGACAGTAGGCAGCAGCTCCCTTTCCTGTACACGGTTCCTGAAAGTCAAAGTATATAGAGGAAGCAGTAGTTCCTAGCAACAAATAGATAAATGCTAACCTCCTGATAGCCCCTCACTCATGAAGTATTTACTGTCCGGAACCATGGACCACTCTAAGATTGTGTCCTGGCTATCGTGCATGTACTAGAATCACATCCCATGTGGATCTGTTCTGAAACTGTTTGTGCATAGCCCATACTGATCACTTCCGTCCTCTCATCAGTAACAGTTCCCGTGTCTACCAGGTGAGCTCATTGTGATTCTTTAGTTGGAAGAAAACAAACTCTGCAAGCATTCTTTTTTTTTTTTTTTTTTTTTTTTTGAGACGGAGTTTCGCTCTTGTTACCCAGGCTGGAGTGCAATGGCGTGATCTCGGCTCACCGCAACCTCCGCCTCCTGGGTTCAGGCAATTCTCCTACTTCAGCCTCCTGAGTAGCTGGGATTACAGGCACGCGCCACCACGCCCAGCTAGTTTTTTGTATTTTTAGTAGAGACGGGGTTTCACCATGTTGACCAGGATGGTCTCGATCTCTTGACCTCGTGATCCACCCGCCTCGGCCTCCCAAAGTGCTGGGATTATAGGCTTGAGCCACCATGCCCGGCTCTGCAAGCATTCTTTTTACATTTTGTGATAATTCTTATCTCCATTATCCTGCTTAGCCAGGCCCATGCTCTTTTTGCCAATTTGTTGAGCACCATGGGCATGTGTGCTTTAAAAAGTATTCTGTATGGTGATAAGGAGCGGAATCTCCTCCTCAGACTGAGAAGTCTGCCTGGTGCTCTTCAAAGCTCTGCTACCTCTATCTTTGCTCTAGAGATTGCAGAACAAGACCAGGTGCAGTGGCTCATGCCTGTAATCCCAGAACTTTGGGAGGCCGAGGTGGATGGATCACCTGAGGCCTGGAGTTCGAGGCCAGCCTGACCAATATGATGAAACCCTCTCTCTACTATAAAAATTACAAAATACAAAAATTAGCTGGGCATGGTGGCATGCACCTGTAATCCCAGCTACTCAGGAGGCTGACACAGGAGAATCTCTTGAACCTGGGAGGTGGAGGTTGTGGAGAGCTGAGATCGCACCTTTGCACTCCAGCCTGGGCAACAAGAGCCTGGCATCAAGCCTGGGCATCAAAATTTTTTAAAAATGCAGAACAAAATTTCTGGTAATGCATTATTGCCATGACATTGCTGGGAGCTTCCAGTAATTGGTAACTGTGTTTCCTAATGCGTTTAACAATTCCCATCCTGCACTAATGTGATCTGCCTCTCCCCCCACAGGCACAAAGGGTACACAAGAAGTTTTCTAAACCTGGCAGAGCACTTCATTCCTCCGAGAAGAAACGTCATTCCACTCCTTTACCGAGCACTGCTATACCAAGCCATACATCTGGCAGCAGCCAGCAGTCCCTGCTTGACAGTCCTCACCCGGGGCCCATCCGAACGGGCCTGCCTCCTGGGCACCAGCAGGAATTTGCCAGACGAGCCAACAGTACCCCCAACCCTCCCTGGTCTTTCCAGAGAAGCAAGTCCTTGTTTTGTTTGCCCACAGGAGGCCCCTCCCTGGCCGCCTCAGCGGAACCACAGTGGTTTTCAAACACAGGTGCCCCAGGGCACAGGGCATCAGAACGGAGGCACGGCCACCTCCTCTCCATTGATGACCTAGAGGGGGCCCAGGAGACAGATGTGGACACGGGCCTACGGCTGTCCTCCTCGGACCTATCTGTGGTCTCTGCATATTCTGCCCCCAGTAGGTTCTGCAGCACAGTGGAGACACCCCTCCCCTCTGAAAGATGCAGCAGCCACTGGGCAGCTCACAAGGACTCCAGGGACGGACCACTGCCCACTGTCAGCAGGGTGACCACAGAGGCCTCCTGGGCTTCCCTCCCTTTTTTCACCAAAAGGTCTTCCAGCTTGTCAGCAACAGCTAGTGCTGCTCCCCCAGCTCCCAGCGCCTCCCCCATCACAGACCCCTCCCCACAGCTCCCATGCGATGCCCCTAGAGTCAAGCAGACTGATGGAGCCGTGCCACCACCTGTAGGGTCAGCTGACCGGGGGGATAATGACCTGGAGGAATTCTACATCTGAATGTCCTCTGCTGGCGTTCTCAAAACACACAAACTCAGGCCCCAGGGCCCCTCTGGCCTCTGAGCACACCGAATTCTTCATGATCCATTTCCCAGGAGCCCGTAACACATTTGCCTACCACCCTTACCTGGGGGTGGTATATCTCTAGGAACACAGCAGAAAAATACTGGAATTTTTATGCAAATAAATTCTCAACAAACTTAAGTCATAAAATATGTTTTTTGAATATTCAGCATTTGAGATATGGTTTAGTAGGTTTATACAATTTAAATGGTTTATATAATTATTTGAAATGAAAGAAAACCTAGTCAGCCAGAACCAATTTGGCAATTTTTCCATGGTGTGAAGGAAAATCAATTAAGGCCAAAATGTTGAATGTGGGAGAGATACTAAGTGACTTGTATGAGGGATTGCTGCATAATAACGTAATGCACACCTTACTGGATTCTCCATATATTTACATTACCAGAGAACAGTGGCCCCAGGAATATTTAAGCACTGCTTATAATGGAAAAAGTCAGCTTGGTAAGTAAACATATCTAATTCCTCACTTTGAAGCCACACAACACCTGAAAATCTGGATTTATACAAAAGTGGTTAATGTATTTTACAAAGATTTAGCATGAGTAACAGACTCCTGGTGCATTTAAAATATGTGAGTTCCAGAAACTAGATCTGCGTATACCTTTTCACCAGCACATTCACTGGAACGGATGAGGGGCTTCAGAAGACCACTCTACTACCTGACTTTATTTGGATTGCTGAGGAAGAGTCATTTGTTGGAATTACAGACTTATAGGCCATTAAACATCATGGGTAGGTAGTCTTAAGATTCTTCAACTTTCAAAAACCACAATCTAAGAGCTATATTAAAATGACAGGAGCCACACTGTATACTGCTTTCTGCAGTGACCATGCTGGGTCACACATCCTGTGTTTCTCGTTTTTAAATGATTTGGAACATTTTCACCAGCATTTTGAGTGCACAGATTAATAATGCCATTCTCCCCAAAACGGGAAACTTTACATGAAACGCTCTCCTGAACAAACACCAGTGCACTGCCAGCCTCACATGACTGACTGCACGGGAGCTTTAATTAACGCCGGAACTGGAGCCCAACGACCTTGGCTTTTCCTGCCTGTTATCTGCTTCTGCCACGGCGTGAATGGTATTTGAATCTCACCTCCCTGTCACCCCAGTAAGGGTATGTTTGTTTACAGCTCCAACCTCAGCAATGCCAAATGCTGGCATGGGGGGCAGTGCCAAGCTGTCCCTGGATACTATTTACTTTTGAGGAAGAAGAGCATGGGTTTGCCAAGCTCAGTTCCCAGTCTGGTGCTCCTTGCTTGAATTAATCATGGCACAGTGTTCATCTCTCTGGAAACGCCCACACCAGCCCAGACGCAGCCTCAAAGCCCTTTCCAACACAACCCTCCAGGCAGCAGTTACGCATCATCAGCCTTAGCTGAAGCTTCAAGGCTTTCCCATCCTGGTAATGAGAGCCTTAGGTCTTGCCCTAAGCATTCTGGACTCTCTAATATGCAGAATTGTAATATTCTGCTCTAATTTAAAAACATGGTCTCCTCATTCAGGACCAGGAGTAAACAAACTTTTTCTGAAAAGGGCTAGATAAGTATTTTAGGCTTTGCCAATCATACGGTCTCTGTTGCAGCTACTCAACTCTGCCACTGTAGTATGAAAGCAGCCATGGGTAATATGTAAATTAATAGGAGTGGCTGAGTTCCAATAAAACTTTATTTTTTTGAGATGGAGTCTCTCTTTGTTGCCCAGGCTGGAGTGCAGCGGTGTGATCTCAGCTCACTGTGACCTCTGCCTACTAGGTTCAAGCAATTCTCCTGCCTCAGCCTCCCGAGTAGCTGGGATTACAAGCGTGTGCCACCATGTCCAGCTAATTTTTTGTATTTATAGTAGAGACAGGGTTTCACCATGTTGGCCAGGCTGGTCTTGAACTCCTGGCCTCATGATCCACCCACCTCGGCCTCCCAAAGTGCTGGGATTGCAGGTGCGAGCCACCGCGCCTGGCCAGTAAAACTTTATTTACAAGAACACCACCTAGTGGGCAAGATTTGGCCCAAGGGTCATAGTTTATTATCCCTTGAGTTAGGCTACTGCCGGAGGTTGATTCAACATCCCCAGCTCCAGTCAAGAAAAATTCTGTCTCCCGCCCACTGCTGCTGTGGTGTGTCATGCCAAGAAAATGGGCTACTCAGGTCAGACTAATAGCTACAGAAGCACAGGGCTCAGAACAGAAAGGAGCCTCTTTCTGCTGAGCTGATTGCCAGAAAGCCACCAGCACTCCACCTCCTGCCCGTAAATGTGACTCCTAGTCAATAGTTGATGACGAAAAGCAACCTGCAAACATTAGGGAGGAGGAGAAAAATAATTCAGAGGTGATGATGCCGCCTCCAATGAACAGGGAAGCAAGTTCATCAGTAGCAAAAGTCAGTGAAGCAAAAACAAATGGACTCACGGCCAAGGGCTGGCTCCTGGCTTCCTCCCTCATCAATGTCCTTATTTCAGTGTGCTCACATGCTCTCCTGGGACTGCTTTAGAGTGCAACTCTGGCCCCACTCTTTCCTAGTGACCTGCCCTCATCACAGCCTCTAATCTACCAAACTGAGTGATCCCAAAGGACATCATAGACACCATTTGAAAGCAAGAAATGCAAAATGTTCCCCTAGCATCAGGTGAGCAGGGAGAGGACACCTACTGCAGACCACATGGAAATGGCAGTCACTCCACGGAGGGGGGATCAGAGGAACACATTTACCAAAGCCTTTCCTTCCACTTCTGTCCGTTCCAGTAGCATCTTCCTCATCCAGAAGGGCTCCCAATACTCTCTGGAGGATCCTGACTCATTTGGAGTATTATCCTTCTGAAAGATGCTGGCACATTGCAGGTGCTCAATAAATGTGTTCAGTTGAAAACTATTGAGGTTGTCTCATAAATTATGTCTTTCTGTATGCATTCGGCACTATAGTGTAAGAAGTCTAAATTGTGGCCCTGGGTTATTGTCACTTAATGGAGCCCTGCCTCTTGTTTCCTTGGTCGTGTACCTCCTCCAGCATTGCCAGGGAGCGGGGCATGTTAGTAAGTGCTCTGGTCCAGTTGCGACCATCCCTTATTTGCCTCTTTTCCAAGTAAGATCTCTCCATCCCCAAATTACTGCTCACAGTCTCACTTTAGCCGACACTAACCACCACCTAGTGTCTGCCTTAAAGAGGAAATCGTTCCCTGTCTGTTCCCAACTGACTGGCAAGTCCTACAGAAATCATCTTGGGTCACCTCAGCTGGCTAAAAGGAGCATAAGAGGAACTGGTGGAAGCAGCGGGTGAGCCACTGCAGAGACTTTGTGACATAGGAGGGTTGGCGTATGCTTGAACAGACTGGGTTTTAATACTGGCTGCTCGAGCCCCTGGGTCTGAGGGCAGGGAACAGTCACAGCAGAGTGTATTGGACTGCACCCCCTAGTGTGTATGTTCACTTGGAATGAGCTCCTGGCCCCAGTGGCCCCAAGTAAATCAGGAGAAATACAGATGTCGTCCTATCACCCCCCTTTTTTTTTTGAGACAGGGTATCACTGTTGCCCAGGCTGAGTACAGTGGCACAATCATGGCTCACTATAGCCTTGACATCCCAGGCTCAAGCAATCCTCCCACCTCAGCCTTCTGAGTAGCTGGGACTACAGGTGCACCACTATACCCCACTAATTTTTTATTTTTTGCAGAGACAGAGTCTCACGATTTTGCCCAGGCTGGTCCCCAACTCCTGGATTCTAGCCATCTTCCCACTGCAGCCTCCCAAAGTGCTGGGATTACAGACATGAGACACCATGCCTGGCCTTTCTACTTTCTGTAGATGAACTAGTTCTCCAAACTGCCAGCCAAGAGGCACCTGAATAGACTCATGGAATTCCTGTAAGAGATTTCTAATGACAACAAAACCAACCGTGGACAGCTTTTTCCTCCCCATACCCTCAGACTGATATCAGTGACCAGTTCTGACCAGTGATCCCTGGGTCTGAATTTCAGGAGAGCAGTAGAAATAGCTGAAATAGCCACCCTCTCCTTCTCCACACCAAGCCAAATGGCTCCATGTGCTAATCATTTGTAGGGTTTCACTTCTCTTGCATTCTTGAGAAATACAGTTGATCAGACATTGTGGAGGCTTCAGAAAATAGCATGAGAAGCTGACATGAATAAATTGGGTTTTCAAGGGAAACACCTTTTGACACACTATTATGATAACAAATGGAACCATGAAGGGTCAGGAACCTGAATTTAAAGATTATATATAGGTACATTCTTTCACCTTTTACTGAAGGCTTTTTCTAGTCCTGGCACAGAGGTCTATTTACAAAATAGCTTTAAAAGGTCTAATTTCCTTGAGTGAATAATGGAAGCAAACGTGAATGGTAATGTCAGCAAGCTTGGTTCTTTTTAACCATTTCCATCTTAGAGGGGTGAGGACTGGTGTCCAGTGATGCACTCACTATGAGGAGCAGGATACTCATTTCAGACTGAAGTCACACATGGTGAAAGCAAAAAGACCCCTTCTGGACCCCACTGACAACCTCAGCAAACTCTGTTTGTGGTGAGGGTGTTGCCTCCTGTGTGGTGGCAGCATAGAAAAATGGAGCCATAAGCCATGCACAGTGGCTCACACCTGTAATCCCAACACTTGGAGAGGCCAAAGTGGGTGAATCACTTGAGGTCAGGAGTTCAAGCCCAGCCTGGCTAACATCGTGAAACCCCGTCTCTACTAAAAATACAGAAATTAGCTGGGTGTGGTGGTGCACGCCTGTAATCCCAGCTACTTGGGAGGCTGAGGCAGGAGAATCACTTGAACCTGGGAGGCGGAGGTTGCAGTGAGTTATGATCACGCCACTGCACTCAGCCTGGGTGACAAATCAAGACTCTGTCGAAAAAGAAAGCAAGCAAGAAAGAAGAGAGAAAAGAAAAAGAAAGAAAAAAGAAAAGAAAAATAGAGCTGGTTCACCATGCCCCACTGCTGCGTTCTGGCTGGGAGTGGTCCCATTCCATTTGAGACATTTGAAATACTGATCTTAATCAGTTGAGCACCTGAAAGAGGCTGCCTGGCTCCCTTAGGTCAGCCTTGCCCATTCACTAAAACTAAACCCAGAGCATTTTGGATTGGCATCACTCTAAATGTGTGTGGCACGGCCCAAGAAATTGCCCATTGAACAAAAACACTTTCAGGCCAAATCACATCCCTGAAGGTAGCTGTGGGGAAGCTTTGGTGCCACCTGGCGGCCGCTGTGCCAGGAGGGTCAGTGAGTGCCCTTTTTATTGAAACAGCCGCCACCTGAATGAATGGAGGGCAGCACTTGATGCATTTAATTTTGTATGCTCTTTATGTCTACAGAGGACTGAGGCAATTTAAGTTACAAATGAAACAAGACAATGCAAATAGAAAAGCCAGCCCCCCAAAAAGGAGCCTACAAATATGTCCACTGTAAGGAAAATGTAACTGCTATAAGTGTTGAATTTCCTGGAAGCCAGAGCAAAAAGGGAAAGATGAGTAGCGGTCTAGTTCTCACTTGCAATGACAGAATCTAGAAACACTGTCTTATTTCATTGGAATTTAAGTTGCCTCAACACAGTTCCACGTAAGAAACCGCTTTTCTTAGTACAGATTTCTAAAATCTCCTTCTCACCAGGGGATCTTCATTAGGGATTTCGTCTGTAGGGTTACTATCTGGTCCAAGTTTGTGGCTTTCCTGCTTGGAGGATGGAATCAGCAGCACCTAGAGGAGACAGGATACCCACAGCTTGTGGGCGAGGCTCCCTAGACATCCTTCTCCAGCCGCACTGTGCAGCAAGGTAGAAATGTCTCTCTCAGCAGAAAGCCTGGAGGGCTGGGCTTCTCCACTGCTCTTGAGGCCATATTCGCAGAGCTTAGAAACAGAAGGGCTGATGATAAGGTTGCTCCTCTTTTCGAAGCTAACCTTGCCCCTATTCAACCAAGGCCCGAAGTGGCTATTACCTCCCCAGGGTTCCTCATCACAAAAGATGTGTCAGATCCTAACGAGGTAAGAAGCAAGCGGAGACTAAAGAGTAGGCTGGATCTACCGCCGGAGGGCATAGCCCTCGGCAGCGGCCTGAAGACTGGAAATGAAGTCTGTCTGAACAGAGGAAACTGAGGCGCAGCGGGAGAGTCCTCAACCTATTTCTACTCCAAGAGTTATGTTCCACTTCCTGCAAAATGAGCCTCCTGTGCCCAATGCAAGCTAAATCACCTCATGCCAGGGCCTCTGAAATTCTCCTTGGCCATAAAGCTCCGTGGCCGTCTGGGTCTGTGTTCATCACCCAAGCTGGCTCTGCGCTCCTGCAACGACCCCAGGCATTTGGCAGCAGGCTCTGGACTGTGACCCGATCACGTGTGGCCCTTCCAGGGAACTCACATTCTGTTCTGGTTCTAACCTAGCCTTTGCTTTCAAATTCAGTAAACACCGGAGCTTCCCATTTGGCGGACACTGGCTCTCCTTTCCTGACTTGCATGGTCCTGGCCTCTCTTACACATTCAGCCATACTTTCCTGGGTGCTAGACCTGAATATCTGGCTTCCTGCACTATACCCATGACTTGGGGTTTTCCCGTGCCGCCAAATCCACACCAAACCACCATGCACACTTATATATATACCAATAAAGACCAGCGGCTCCTCCCTCTCCCCGTTCGCCTCTTCCTCCATTTCTCAGGTCTGTTCATACTTTCTTCTCTCTCCTCATCATTCACATTGAAAAACAAAGAGTGAGAGCGCCCCGTGGAGAGAAGCAGGGCTTTGCAGTCACACATATGGGACTTTGAATCCCACCGAGACTTGCTAGCTGTGTGACCTTAATCAAGCTATTCCATTTCTCACTCTTGGGTTCCTTATTTGCAAAGTGGGAGGAGTAGGGTGAGGTAAGTGAGGTACTTGCCTCAGGGGCAAAACTTAAGAGGATTCCCAAGACCTCATTCATTAAAATTAACGTTGTTTTTGAGCTCATAGAAGTAAAAAGTAAAACAGAGGATACTAGAGGATAAGAAGGGTAGGAGGAAGGGAGGGATGGGGAGAGATTTGTTAAAGGACACAGAATTACAGCTAGACAGGAGTAAGTTGTAGTGTCCTGTATCACTGCAGGATGATTCTAGGTAACAATAATATATTTATTATGTAGTTTCAAATCACTAGGAGGGGGATATTGAATGTTCCCCACACAAAGAAATGATAAATGTTTGAGATGATGGATATGTTATTTACTCTGATCACTATAGAATATAATGATCCAAACATTACTACGTACCCTATGATATGTACAATTAGTTGTCAATTTAAAAATAAAATACTAAAAAAAGAGATTATTAATAATAACATTTTAAGAAATGAAGCCTTCTTCTTGGGATCATTCTGAGGAATAAATGAGATCCAGAGGCAAAGGCTGCCACAGCGAGCTGTCATTTTCACTTTTCAGATTAGCAAAGGTTTTGAAGATAATGCTTCACTGATGTTTATTCATGGTTTTTAGCATGGGAAAGAAATGTGGCAATAGATATATCAGCAGCCTTAAAAATGCTTATGTCAGATCAGGCATGGTGGTGCATACCTGTAATCCCAGCATTTTAGGAAGCTGAGGCAAGCCCATGGCTTGAGCCCAGGAGTTTGAGATCAGCCTGGGGAACATGGTGAGATCTCATCTCTACTACAAATTAAAAAAAAAAAAAATTAGCCAGGTGTGGTGGTGCATGCCTGTGGTCCCAACTACCTGGGAGGCTGCCCCAGGAGGGCCAGGCTGCAGGAAGCCTTGATCATGCCACTGTCCTCCAGCCTGGGCAACAGAGCGAAACCCTATCTCAAAAAAACAAAACAAAAAAATGCTTATGTCTGGTAATTCAGTCTCTGGGAGATTATCCCAAGGAAATTAT